TGCTGTGTGGGGTTTCAGAAAGCTGTGCGTGGTCTGACCAGGGCTCTGTGGGATCCTACCATTGTTGTGCTGGTCTCGCCAGGGCTGTGCGGGTGGGTGCAGGTGGCAGGAAGGAGGAGGAGATGTGCAGCCAGCATTGTAAATAGGCACTGTGGGTCCCCACAAGGCTGCCGTGAGGTTCCCAGCAAGTGTAGGATCTTACGGCAGCCGAATCTGTTAAAAACATTTAAAGGGCCGGTATCACCAGTTAGTATAAGGCATTTGTACAAGTATTTGTGAAAATGCCCAGTATCTGCACCGATACCAATAGTGGTATTGGTGTATACTTAATCCCGTCCATCCCTCCCTATAGGCATTATACCCTTCTAGATATCCCCTATAGGCAGCAGATCCCCACCATGGGGGTATACAGGGGCAATGAGGGCATGCAGGGACTTGTAGTTCCCTGTGTGATATGTGTGTGTGGGGGGGAGGGTGTACATGGACAATGAGGGCATGCTGGGACTAGTGATTTCCTAGGAGGTATGAGGGAGGTGTACAGGGACATTGAGGGCACTTGTAGTTCCCTAGGTGATATGGGGAACGTTGTACAAGGACAATGATGGCATGCTAGGACTTGTAGTTCCCAGGAGGATATGTTGAGGCTGTACAGGGACAATGGGGGCATGCTGGGACTTGTAGTCCAACTACAAGTTAGCAAACATGACCTCATTGTCCCTGTACACCACATATCACCCAGGGAACTACAAGTCCCTGCATGCCATCATTGTCCTTGTACAACTTCCGCATATCACCTAGGGAACTACAAGTCCCAGCATGAAAGTCTCTTACAGTAGTTTCCTCGGTGATATGTGGGGGGTACAAGGGACAATGAGGGGATGCTGGGACTTTTAATTCTCTATAATATTAGGCTGTAATCATTTCTGACCTCCTGAAAGTACTAGTAATAAAATGCCATTATAAAACATAAAATAAAACATAGTTGACATTGGAAGTTCCAAGTTCAACTATGTTCTATTCAATGTTCTATAATAGCAAGTACAGTAATCACCTAAACTGTCATTGTCCTTCTGGTTGGTCTTCAACTCATGGTCAGGAGAAGCTCTGGGGGGAGGCTGAAACAAAAAAACACACAATGGGGTAAGGGTGTGGAAAATCGGCCAGGAACACTTACCGAGTCGAGGCGGGTATCTCTGCAGTATGAGGCAGCGGCTGCTGCTCTGGGTCCTCGCGGCTGAGGCCCCAGAGCAGCCCTATTATTTGCCTGTGTAGGTCTGCCTCCCGGCCTGCCCGCTTGTCACTGCCCGGTGGGCGGGCGGCCCCCCCCTCATCCCTCATCTGGCCCCCCCTCATCCCTCATCTCTGTGCCCGAGCAGCCGCACCGTCGACCTCCCCCCCAGTTGTTACACCACTGATTCAAAAGTGTCATCTAATGTGTCATAAATTTCAAAAAGGTTGGGAACGACTGGCTTAGTCCAGTCCTTTCAGCTTTGGCATTCTTGCATGGCATTTTTTTACCACTGCATGTCATTTTAGGTAGTTCTGAATTACAAATTTTGAAAATACAAAAATATATAAAGCCTTGCATCCCCTATCACCCTTCCAGCATGCTTAGTTTGTCACTCTCTCTGTCAACTGCCACATAGTGTTGTGTATATAACAGGTTTAACAAGTATATGGTCTGCAATAGCAACAGACATGTTTAATTTGTAACAGAGATGCAAGGGGTGCAGAAATGTGCATGACCCCCTTCCTTCTCTTCCACAGAGACAAACCATGACTCATGTAGGACAACTCATTATTTTAATGGTACAGTATGCCAGGCGGGGGGGGGGTGCTAAATTGCACTTTATAGACTTAAATACATCTCAGCAGGTACCCTTGACATCGCTTATTTCCAGTATGACAAAGTGATGTTGTAAGTCTCCTTTTATAAAAATATGATCTTGTACATATTGAGGAAAAATAACACCTTTGGGCCCCTTTCATGCCCACATCCCGTGATAGGTTTATTCTGTCTGTCTCGTTTTGAGGACATTAGAATTTTTTAGATAACTGATCTTTGCATTCTGCTTAATTAGTCACCAGCCTATCATATTTCTAATTGATGCCATGGCTTACAGAACTTCACTGTCTTTCACACTGTTGTTAGTAAATAGCTTCCAAAGCGACAGTTGATGAAAGATCACATCCACACATTCCGTTCTGCGCTTTTTTCCATAAATTTTCCACTGCTCTAAGTCAGCAGTTGATAGTAAAAGTAAATATGAGCTTTATAATAGTTTAGTTTGCAAACTGCTCCCCCTTCCTGTTTAGCCATTCCTTGACACTGAATAAAAAGGAAACAATTAAAGATGGGTATATATGTTTGAAATAAATATGTTAAAGGCAGCTTGATTTAGCGTACATTTACTGAACACATCCCCTAAGATATTTACATACTATATGCATGTTGTAAAGACAGGCAATGCAATAAACTCTCAGGTACAGCTAGAATAGTCTGAGTTTAGCCATGGTGTCTTGTATCCAAGCTACAGAGGCAGAGAGATGTTTTTTTCTCAGTGGAAGGAATGCTGTCACTTGGTTAATCTTTAACTGGATATGTGTTAGCACCCTGGAGCCTGCTAAGTACCTCTGTTTTCTTTATGGGCAGCTCACGGTGCCACAGGGTCTGTGATGTGTGAATGGGTGGGGGGCCATGTATCAGGAGTGACACATGGTAGAACAAACTGCTTACAAGTGGCGCGCTGAATATTGATCAGTGAGCATCGCTCATACAAGGAGGCTGTTGCTTTTCTATTTATGGAATCCTGACACTTTATCCCATGTACAGCCATAATGATCACTCACAGACAGACTCCTTTGTCAGGTGCTGCCTGTTTGCTGTAGTCTTTGTAAAAATTATTATATATAGTCCAGGCATTGGTCTGTGACTCTTAAATTTAAGCAGCTAAAATAGGGAGCCATTTTTATGTGCAATTGGCAGCAATGTCATAATATACGCATACTGTTCTTGTTTCAGATAGTTGTATAAAAGATCTCAGTTAAAGGAAACCTACACTGACAAAAGCAGTCTTCTTCTTAATATGCTAGTTGTCTGACTGCCTCTTGGCTTCAGCGCTTTCTAAGAACACTGACCGGGAACAAGCTTTCCGCTCAGGAAAGTCAGGGTACAGTCAGAGTAATGTCAGAACTCCTGATCAGCATACTTGTTTCGAATGAGTGATTCAAAAGTCTCTGTACAAGAATGAGAACTTGTATATTTAGAATGAGTGATCAACTAGTGATCAACTAGGGCATTTTCCCGCAGCTTACAGGGGAACTCTATAGCTTTTAATGAGCTCTTATTCTTGTAACGTTACCTAAAGGTACTTTTGATGACGTTTTCATATAATTTTGCTGCTTTATATTTTCTTATCATTTATATATAGAATTGAAGGCTATCTGTAATTCAAACAGGGCATTTAGTATGTTTGCCAAATGTGGACCCTCCTTCTAATCCTGTGAGGTGCTGTGTGTGTGCTGTAGATGTAGTGAACTACAGAGAAGTCATATTAAAGTAACTTGTGATTTTAGTAAAGCCTGCTTGTGCTAGAATGCAATAGCAGTGTTTTAATTTCTTTAACGCGTTCCCTGATATTGCTCATTTTTAGCAGTAACTCTTAGGTAACTGAACAGTAACTAACAAGTATCTCACAAGCTGATTCTTTTCTGCTCAACACCCTTCAATTATCTTTTGCTCACTTCAAATGGGTTTAGTATTCCCATAGAAGTCTATGGGAATGCAAAACTCACTTGAAACAGATCAAATGCAAGACAAAAGATGGTGAACTGCAGGCCAAATGCACCTGTCAATGAATTCTGAATAATCTGAGAAGCTGGTGTCAAATTGGTGTCCAATTCATTCCATTAATGCAAACCCAAAGCCTGGTGATACAGGCCTTTACTGTAATATGAAAATACAGAAGGAGATAACAACATCCTGAATCGGGATATCATGAGCAAGTTTGTGCTTTTCCAAGTTTAATGTTTGCCTTGCTGATTTGCTTATGTGGTAAATACAGAAGTCTCTTTATTGTATGTGGTTTGTAGAAATCACTATTTCTAGTCTTCCTGGAACTGTTCTACTGTGCTGACTTGTAGAATACTGGGTGTTACAGATCCATAGTTGCCACAAGACTGGATGGGAACCTTTAATTCTGCCAGGGAAGTACACAACTGAAAGAGTTCCATGTTTCACTGTTGTGCATGCAATTGGTCTATATATTGCTCATAGATGTAAAATATAGTGTGCAGCTTCTTGTAAGGAGATTGTAATGTATACCCTCCATTTTTCTGTGATGGGAAAGCGGGACACTCTTTACCATAAAGTGTGTAGGCAAAGGACACACCCATGAGGGATTAATATGCATAAAATGGTGGATTAAACCAAGTACTTTTTTGCTTTTTATTCTGGCTTTTTGAAGAAAAATAATTTAAACGTTGGGTTAAAGATTTTGTATGGTAAACTTATACATTTTTATAGTAGATTAGACCAAAAACAGGAATAACTGAGGAGGAAAGAAGGACAGAGGGATTTGGTACCAAAAGAGGGACAGTCCCTCCAAATGAGCTATGGAAACACAACTTTGATAAGGGCCATATTAGAAAGTCTTGAAATGGAGTTCATAAGAGTTGTGGCTAAAAATGTCCCAGAGACGTATGCAAAATACCCAGATAGTTTCCATGACTAAAACCAGTGAATACTGCAGGTGATTTGTAATATGTATATTTTCATTCTCAGTTTGCAATAGAGCAAACTAAGCAGAGCATGACTACCAGGATTTGCTGTTTGCCTCATGGGACAAAATTGTCATATCCATTTGTCTTTTTTGCAACATTTGTTGTTTCAGACTGCCTAGCTCCCCAAGACTGAGAATAATGAAAGGTTCAATGTATTTGCACTGTACGTTCTGTTTATTCTTTCACCATTTGCATGTGCTTTCTGTTCCCATTCTTAGGTGGTGCTCATGAGGGCCTTCAGCACTTGGGACCATATGGCAACATCCCCAATATTGTAGCTGAACTTACAGGGGACAACATTCCTAAAGATTTCCGAGAAGATAAAGGATATCCAAACCCTCCCAACCCATGCCCTGTTGGAAAGACTGGTAAGCTTCTTTGGATATAAGTATTTATTACAAATTCAAAAATGTTTTACTCTTAAACAGAGTCACTATAAAGAACAAGCTCACATTTATATTTGTTGTCCTTCATTAGAGGTAACGTTAAACAATCCACACACGTTTACTGACAGAGTGTTGTTCTGTGGGAATGGAATCCATTTAGAGTAAAAAAAATGCATATACACTGGAAAATATTAACATTTTCTAGGTTTGGCATCTACCTGTTCCACCTATTCTGTCTAGCTGATTGCCTCCTCTCATGCTCATTAAGTGGCGTCCATTAGTCTATGAGTAAATGAGAATGAGCACTAGTCATTAGGGACCTGCCTGGCTGTTAACTTTTTTTGCCAAGGGCACAGTGAGAAAAATAAGTTACCAAAAATTATTTCTGCGTGGAAGAGGCACTGTACCACCCTAAAAGGGTATTCTAAAAAAAGCTTGCAATTCTCCACAAACTGCCCATCTTAGGGCAAATATGCTAAGTGTAAGAATGATACACTGACCTTTTATCAGTGTCTACCTGCAACCTCCATAAACAATGAAAAGCAGGTACCTATAGTTTCTTAGTGAGAAACCTAGAAACAATGGGTTAAAGGCAAGCTCTGATCCACTGCTTCTTCCATATCTGTATAACTGAGTACCTTCGGTGTCATTGCTCCTGGGGTTTGCTTTACACATAGGCCAAATGCAGTCAGAACCATAGGTCCTAAGTCTGAAGGAAGTTTTCAAGTCTCTCAAAGGACAGTAGAAGCAGTTGTAAAATGACTCAATACGTAGCTAAATGTATTCCTCCTGTAATTACATCCACTATTCTGTATGTTCTGACCTAATGAACAGCTGCAGGTGTTCAATCAGTTATATCCCTGGCCTCATTATAGTGTAAAGTTATACTATTCTTTCAAATAAGTAAGAGACAGTGAATGTTGGTTGAAGTTATATGATGTATTTATTATTTCCTTCCTTATTCCTCTGAGCATTTATTGTAACAGGTGATGGTTGTTTGGAGAATACACCAGACACAGCCCAGTTCAGCAAAGAATACCAGCTGCACCAGAACCTATATGACCCAGAACACAACTATCCAGGAGTAAATAAGTGGGTAAGCATGGCTCCTTACAAACCCTGTTCATTACACCTAACAGAGAAACTTAAAATTCCTAAAAATATTCTATTGCATGGAGCTTTCCTGGTACACAATTTTTTTTTTTTAAATATAATATATATA